GGCTCTGGGGCGGGGGCTCCGCAGCTCTGCAGCTCTGCAGCTCTGCAGCTCTGCAGCTCTGCGCGCTGGGAAACCCTCCAGCCCCTGCCGCGTGCTGCACCGCGCGAGCTCCTGCCTAGCGCGGGAGGGGGTCGCGGCCTAGCTCGGATCCGGCCCCTGCTGGCTGCAGTGCGGTGCAGCCCCCTCCTCGGCGCTTGCTGTGCGCGCTGCCCAGCGCTGCCACCTGCGCTCCAGCCCTGCTGGTTGCCCGCTTCGGGCCCAAGGCATGTCCCTGTGTCCTGAATCCGGTGAGTGCGCGCGATACTGCGCTGCTGACCTTGGGTCCACGCCCCGCGGACCCCACGGCCCAGGGCGGGAGACGGAGCGCTCCGGTGTCGGAACCCTGGCTTTGGGCTTCCCAGCTCACCAAGGCGGCGCCGCCTCACCCAGGCTCATCCACTGCCTGTGCTCCCGCCCCTGTCCTTGCTGTAGCGTGGGCTCCAGAGGCCTCAGGTGAGCCGGCATCTCAGTGGCATCCCAGCTCTCTGGCGATCTACATTGGATTCACAAGGTTTAGAGAAATTAAGGGACCCGGGACTTGCCGCCCCTTAAGCGCCGGGACAAGTTTCTAGGTGCTTGAGGACTGGCCGGATGCCTGCGGCTTAGGTGGACTTCCACCTGGAGGCAGGAGGTGGACGAGATGACAGTGTGATGGCGTCGTTTGAGGCCTTCATTCTTACCTCTTTGGCTCTCTCCTGGCAAGGGCGCTGTACTGCGCTCTGGCAGTCTGCTTTCTGCCCTTGAACTTCCTGGTAGCTGCTTTGCCAGGGAAGCTGCTAATGGCTTGTCTTGGCTTGGCTGGCAGAGGGCTCTGGGGTGTTTTGAGAGGCCCTGGAGTAGGAGAAGCTTGCTAACTAGAGTGTCATTTCCCCAGTCTGTTAGGTCCTTGTATGTGCCTGGAAGCTTGGTGATGACAAATTAGGAAAGGAGCTGAGTGAAAGCTGGAAGCATTAGGAGGAACTTTAGCATGGTTCTGAGCTCTTGTTGGCTATCCCCCTGGATGTGCTTCAGGGAAAAGCTGACTGCAGCTGGAACGCTCATTGGAGAAATTCCTCCCCAGGCTGTGAAGCATTAATGCCGAGTGACAGTCAAACTATGGAGCCAGGCAGACAGAGCTCCTGTCAGCTCCCACCTCTCTGAGTGATGATAGCAGGTTGGGGGTAGTTACCCTGGCTGGGCTGCAACTCTGAGAGGCTGGCTTGCCCTGAAGATAATGGTAGGAGGCTGCCCTGTCTAAGAATCATGGGGCTTACATGGGTGGGTTGCTGGGAAACTCTTGGGCCTCTCAGCCCCACCCTTAGCCCCACCTCAGTCTTAAGATCCTGGATAAGGGGTGAGTGGCTGTCAGCTAGGTCAAGAAATTGTGAGAGATGAGGCCTATTTTTCTTGTCCTTACACTAGGTGAATCACTCTTCAAATGCCTCAAAATCAATCCCAGATCTTGAAAATATGGGCAGATAAAAATTAGCCTTAGAGATAAGCAGGAGATACCATTCCTTCCCTAAATTCACTAGTCGACCTTCCTGGGTCAGCCCCCAACTGTAGTAGTCTCTTAATTTTTATGTGCTGGCTACATATCCAGGGTAGGAGACCAAGGCTTTGGGCTTTGCTATATGAGGGGGACAGGGCGTAACAGGATGGGCTCATGGCTGGAGTTCTGGCCATGTGAAGTCAGCAGGAAGTATCATTCACAGAGAAGGCTGTTTCTCCCCATCTGGTTTCACATTTCAACATGGCTTCCTTCCCCTTGCACCCAAGTAGGAGCTTGAGAGAGTGCCTGGCACACAATAGCGCTCCATAAATATTGTTGAATGGAAGGATTCAGTGTCTAGATGAAACTTCATGTTCATTTTCCTAGTTGGACTCTCTCGTACCTGATATGATGGCAATGATGTTGATAGATAATACTTATAAACCACATACTATGTGCCAGGTACTATTCTAAGCACATTACATATGCTAACTAATTTAATTGTCATGGCAAGTTATGAGGCCAGTACTGTTATTAACCCCATTTTATAGGGAAGAAAACTGAGCCAGAGAAGTTTAGTAACTTGCCCAACATCATGTAACTAAGTGGTAGGACAGGATTCAAACCTAGGTAAGTCTGGCTTGAGTTCATATTTTTAACCATTCATTGTACTGATTCTTGAGCGTGCTATAAGTAGATTAATCATTAGCTCATTCCCTCGTTCATTATTTTACGCCTTCATTCATTCAACAGATATTTACTGATGCCTACTGTATTCCAGTCATGGGGACACAGTAGTGAATGGGTGGACAAGGTCTGTCATGGAGCTGATATTTAGCAGGTGAAGCCCCTTTGCCCATCTCCTGTGTGAGTTATACACATCCCAGAAATGAGAAGGAAAATGAACCCATGCAGGCAAGGCCACAGCATCCTTTTGGGAAGGGGACAGTAGTATCTTTCTTGATGAAACATAGTTTGATTATAGCCTTTCTTGTTTTTGGGGATTTGTAAGGGGCACTTAATTGATCAAAGTGAGTGCAGTCTGGTCTCCTGGGTAGGAGAAGCAGGCCCTGGGTCTGGTTATCATAGATTGTCTTAATGTTCCTTCAGAAGGGAAATAGGGCTTTGAGCTTGGGACCAGTTCTTTTCAGTCCAAGGAGACTTCTAGGCCATAAGGAGCAGTGACATGTCAGGCTCATGGTGAGATTGTGAGGTTCTGAGAGAAGCTTGCCCTCTTGAGACAGAGCCATAGTTTCCTTTTAAACTGTCACTGTTCTGGTGGGTCTTGTATCTGTTTGGCTCTAGTCTAACAGAACCCTTGGCCATTGTCCCAACCTGTGCCGTGTTAGTGGAGCTGCTGCCCATCTCTGTCTAGACCTGATGGAGTGGGTCTCACTCCCTTGCTGGGCCCCAGGAGGGCAGCTTTCTCTATGTTGGAAAATGAAGGCTCACAGTGGAAGGCATTTTCCAAAACACATGACATGGGATATTAATAGGTGTGTTTTTCTCTGGTGATAGTGGTGGGGTAGGGGGGTCAAGTAAATGTGTTGGGTTAAACAAAGTTAAGCAGCTTTCTTTACTGAAGGACATCTCGGGTGTTTAGAATCTGCTAGTAGGAATTGCACATGAATCCCCATAAGGTGCTATGGTATGCACTATTTTCCTTTGACGTTCTACAGACTACATTTTGGAAAATACATGTTTAGATTAGAGCTATCCTCAATCTGGTTCAAGGTGCAGAATGAAATTCCCTGAATGTGTTGGTTCCAGGTAGGCTCTCAGATGCATGGGCTAGGATGTTCCCATTGCAGCTCCTTCATACACCCCCTCCCCAAACATACCAGCGGGAGGAATCATACATTCTCGCTTCTGGCAGAATAGTACTAAGGCCTTGGGATTTTTTTCTCTGGACGCTTTAAGTCTTTTTAATTATTTAATGAATAAATATTACCCTCCCCCGCTCCCGCCCCGAGTTGCTTGTAGCCTGCTGGTTGCACTGTTTATGAAACAGCTGTGTGGACAGGTGGGTCATAATCTCTGGGTAGCTAAAGCCCAGCAGTGGCCCAAGGATCTTGTGTCAACCCTGTAATCCTGCTCTGTACACACAGGAATTATTATGTGGGCTTAGGAAGGCACAACCTCACGATTGGATATGATGAGGTGACTCAGGTCCAAATCAGGGCTAGAGTCAGCTTCCCGGTAAACAACTGACCCATCCTTTCTGGGCTCTTCTCCCCAGGATTTCAACAGCACCACAGAAATAGCCATTTTGCTCACGGTTATTTCCCAGACCCACACCACTTGTCTAAGTCACTGGGAGGCTGTGCGTCTGACTGAGTCTTCTACCCTGCTTGCTCTTAGAGGACTGCTTCTGTGGGTCACTGGAGGCAGCTTTACCTTCCCCAGTGGGAACAGCAGCTGCTGGCGGCAGTGTGACTGAGTCCAACCAGGGCTCAGGAATTTTCTCAGAGCTGGAGGCCCACGTGGGAGCCGTGAGCAGCAGTAAGGAGAGGGTGGGGCAATGGGCTCAGATGTGTCAGGCATGATATACTTTGTGTGTGTACGTGTGCGCGCGTGTGTACTTGCACACAGTCATGCTCTGGTAGAGCTTGTCAGGCTGCCCAGTCACCTGTGATGTGCAGCTTCTTTGGGGCAAGACAAGACGGGGTGGAACAAGGCATGCCAGCTTTTCACTCTAGCCTGCTTTTGCCTCAGTTCCCCCTCCCTCTGAGTTACTGTCTTTTCCTGGGAAAGGAGGGAGCAGTTCATCGGCCGTCACTCTTTTAGAGGAGGAGGGGAGGGGGAGCTCATGCTGGCAACTTGGCTCAGAGCTCCGCCTGCCAGTCATGGGGTGCCCTCAGGAGGGTTGCTTGGGGGTGGGAGGCCTTGTGAGGAGAGGCAGGACAGGCTGTGCCGGAGACAAATACCTTTGGTAAGACGAGCTCTGTCACCACATCAAGCCTGAAGTGGGGTTCAAAACGGAAGCAGCAAAGGTGATGTTATCGCACGTTATGGCTCAGCTTTCAGGAGGGGTCCGGACATTAGAGGGAGGCTATGCTTCTGTGGTTGGTCAGGAAGGCTGAATGTACAGTTGCGTTGGGGCAGCAGCGTTTTTAGCTTCTTGCTCCGGAGAGGACTGTGAGCAGGGCCAGGACGCTCTGCATTCAGGATGTAGCAGCGGTGGCTAACGGGCATGACCTGGGCCCTTTAGGACTCTTGGAAATTTTCCACTTCCTTTCATATTCACGGGAGAATTTCCAGCCCAGGCTTTTCCTGCTTTTGCTCAAGACTGCTCACAGATATGCAAAGCAGAGACCTCCCACCCCAGCGGCGACGACAGGAGCCAGCTAGCTGCACTTACACTGACTCAGCTCAGTCTCCTGGGCAGCACGGCACCCCCTGGCCCGCGTGCGTTGCCTGTGTGGCATCCTGAGGAGCAGCCATGGAAACGCCAGCACCAGGGTCAGGTCTGTGTTGCGGTTTCTGACAATGGGAGTCTGGCAAGAGCAGGAAAAGCTTCATTTGTATAAGCAGGGGATTGAAGCGTCCCCATGCTTCTTTTCTAGAGGGACTGTGGTGCTGGGAACAGTCACAGTTCATTGAAATTGGTGGCATTTTATAGCTTTCTAACTTGGGAACACTTCCACAAGCTCATTGGAGGATGTTGTATGTAATGACGAGATGAGCTGTATCATTAGCTGATGCTGGTGAATTCACAGTTGAGCCTCCCAAGCTTGCTTGCTCCAGCTGACAAACAGTTGAAAGCCAGGCTTGAGCAAGCAGCTGGAGCTGAAGCTCTGCTTCCTCGGCATGCTTGGCCGGTGTCTGTAGGTCTGAGAAGAGAGACAAGCAATGGAGGGAGTGGTTGGCAGGTGGGAGCTGTCTGCCAAGGATGCCCAGCAAGTGTACGGGAGGCTCCTTAGGCCCAGCTGAGTTACTGGGTCCACACTAAGGCATGGAGTGAAGTTCTTACCAATTATTTAAGACATTGGTAGTAGTTCTGCAGGAGATCCATATGGGTTCTGTATAAAAACATGGGGCTTTGGGACAATGCTGCTCTACGACCTTCAAGTCTTTGATGTGCCTTGTGAAGCTGGGTGAGGGGCGATGGAATGAAATGCAGCACCTCCCTCCTCACTAACCACAGGACCTGTTTTTATCAGCAACAGGCATCGACTTCTCATGGGACCCAGTTTGAAAAAGGCTAATTTAAGCTATTTAAGTTAAAGAAAAAGGAAGATCTTTTGTTGAAAGGTGCATCCTAAAAAGTATGCTTCGTTGACTTGAGCAAACTAAAAATGTTTCATGGAAAAGCATGGCAGGATCTGACATAAGGACCCTCAGAAACAAAGAATGCCTCCAAATTCCCATTTCTGATGGGGACTGGTGGGGTGTAGCTGGGTCAGGCCTGTGTGTGTTTTGGGGATAAGGCGTAGGGGGTAGGAAGATGGTGGTGGGCAACTTTCACCCAGGGCAAGAGCTACTGCAGAGATGGGTCTCAATGGCGTAATTCCCTTTGGGCTGGCCTCTCTCTGGTGTGGGTTAGGTGGGTGAGTACCCTAACTGCCAAAACCTGGGGTGTACAAGTTTGATTTGTTTTCCTGTTTTTCTCTCTTTTTATAAACTCTTCCGTCTCTCCATTTTCTTTCTATCTCCTGTGTGTTTGTTAAAATGACATGACAACAGCATTAATGACAAGAATCAGATATTGCCTCCCACCTGGTCATTTCAGTGTGTGTCTCTCTTACAGCCCTTGTCCATAAGGGGAACCATTTTCTGTCATCATCATCATGGCATGGGTACAGTTTTATGTATTAATTTTTTCATTTACTGTTATTTCGCTAGATAGTTTTTGTGTAATTGCCCTGTCCTCCTAATTTGGGTTGCTTAAGAATTTTTTTCCAGTGAATATGCTCTAATTTGGACATTCTAAAGCTATTTATATAAAGAGTGCATGTAAACATCATTGTGTCTTTTCCTTCTTTCAGCTTCTTGCCTTAGAAGCAATTTCTAGAAGTGGGTTTACTCTGTCAAATGGTATGGATACTTCATGGCATTTGCTGCCCCTTGCCTGCGGCCTATTGGGTGTCTACTTCTGAGATGCCTGTGAGGTTTTGGAATGTGACCCTAGATCCAAGACCTTAGAGTTGGGGGGTGGAGCTCCAGTTTTGTTCTGACCTAACCACTCCTCTTGGGTCTAGTTCTTTGTCTTGCTCTTCATTTCTCTTCCCTGTCACCTTCTCTCAGCCTCTGCTCTGATGGTTTCCAGCTTCTTCTTCTCTCTGCTATCAGGACGTGGCAATTTCCAGTCAGCTCTGTTCCTCTTCCTCTTTATAGGATAGGCCTTTGCTGTCATCTTGGTCTCTGCGGCAACAGACTAGCACAGTTGCGTGTTAAAGTGCCTCTGTCCGAACCAGCTCCCTCCCACTCAACCCCCCTGAAGGTCAGAGAGGCCCAGGAAAGGCAGGGTACTGGGTGTGGAGAAAAGGAGGAAATTGTTTTCATAGTCAAGGGGCCCACAGATGTTCTCTGACTGTCCGTTACTAGCTTGCTTTCCTCCCTCCTGTTTGTGTCCTGAATTAGACCCACATGCCGCAGAGAAGATGGAGCAGTAAGCTTTCTGAGCACAGGAAACCTCTCTGGTATCTAGAATTATGGCACTTAGAACTGAGATGGCCTCGGGGACCACTTAGTCCATCCAGTGCCTTTATCTCACAGCAGAGAAAATGGTGAGGTGCAGAGAATGATTGTCCCAAGGTTGATCACTGAGTCCCTCCTCCCCTTTAGTTGCTTCCTCTCCCTGCCAGACAGCCTCTGGGCACTGTCTCACCTTCATCATCATCTGTTGGTCTGACAAAACCACTTCTCTCTTTAAGCCTTCCTGAAAGAAACCATGGTAACAGATGGACAGGAAACTCTTCTTCCAGAGCTACTCTTGGGGTGGCTGTTGAAAGGATGCACTATTCACCGGTTCCATAAGTGTGATGCTAGGGACTGTGGGGAGACCTGCCCTGACACCCGGATGGACAAAGAGAAGCATAGCAGTTAAGAGTGCAGACACTGGAACCAGGTGCTGGGTTCAAATCCTTGAGCAGAAGCTCAGAGAGGAACAGGATAAGGGAGCCAAGGCTGAGAACAGCACAAATCTCTGCCCACTTACTAAATGTGTGACTCTGGGAAGGGAGCTAGCTCTCTGTGACTTCATTTTGTCATTTGCAAAATGGGAATAACAGGATTAACTGCGTTAATAAGTATAAAGGGCGTGGCAGAGTATACTTAGTAAGCACAATATAAGCATCAAAGGAAAGAAAAACAGAAAACATAGGAATCAACCAGGTGATTTAGGGCAGCTACTGATACTAAGGAACTAGGTACAGACAGGTAGATAAGGCAAGCTTCTTTGAGGAAGTGAGTTTTCAGCTGGGCTATGGAAGGTAAAGAGTATCCTTGTCCCCAACCCTTTATAGTAGTCCCCCCTTATCTGCGGCTTCACTTTCTGTGGTTTCAGTTAGCCGTGGATGACTGCAGTATAAAAATATTAAATAGAGAATTCCAGAAATGAACAACTCATAAGTTTTAAATTGCCCACTGTTCTGAGTCATGTGATGAAAGCGTGTACCGGTTTGCTCAGCCCCACTCAGGACATGAGTCATTCCTTTGTCCTGCGTATCCATTCTGTGTACACCACCCGCCTACCTGTTAGTCACTTAGCTGTCTCCATTATCAGATCTACTTCCAGTGCTTGTGTACAGGTAAACCTTATGTGACTTCATAATGGCCCCAAAGCCATTCACATAACTTGAATACAGTAGCTCATCATGATTACTCTATTTTATTATTAGTTATAGTTGCTAATCTCTTACTGTGCCTAATTTATAAATTAAACTTTATCATATATATGTATGTATAGGAAAAATAGTTCAGTACTATCTGGGGTTTCTTGTACTGGGGGTCTTGAAACATGTCCTCTGTGGGAAAAGGGGGGACTACTGTATTTTATTTGCCGTGTCTTGTTAGAAGTTCCGGAGGGTTTGGGAGACGGTGGAACCAGAATCGCAGATTCTTTCTTTTCAGCAAAAAGCCTTGTTTTGTGTGATGAAGGATGCAACCTGGGATTCACCAGGGCTCTGCTGTCATCTCATGGGACCTTAAGCTAATCATTAAACCCTTTGGGCTTTGGTCTTCCCCTGTGTGCGTTGGGAGTGAGGTTTGGCTATTGTTGCACCTGGAATGGCTTCCTGGTAGTCTGCAGAGGGAGGAGTCTGAACTCTCCCTTCTTCATGGAAACAAAGTCGGGAAAGGCAGGGCTGCCAGTGTGCTGCAGGTTTCCTGAGTTCAGGCAAATGGAAGCACCCTTAGTTGGACAGTTCATTCTTTGATTTCGGACACTTGCTTTCTCGTGAAATATAAGTGGCTCTACACTCTTCACATCCAATTACTTGTTGAGCTAATTTTAAAATTGGCATGCTGGGTTTGGTCTGGGGAGGTCCTAAGCAGACAGCTGACCCTCAAGGACCAGGGGTGCCTGGCCTTTATTTCAGTACCTTCCCCTCTCCCACAGGGTGAGTCAGGTCATCCAGTGATTCATGAAGATTAATGCTCGTTCTTTTTCTGCCAGCCGAGATGCCACGACAATTCCCCAAGCTGAACATCTCTGAGGTGGATGAGCAAGTCCGGCTTCTGGCTGAGAAAGTGTTTGCTAAAGTGCTCCGAGAAGAGGACAGCAAAGATGGCTTATCCCTCTTCACTGTCCCCGAGGACTGCCCCATCGAGCAGAAGGAGGCCAAGGAGAGGGAGCTGCAGAAGGAGCTGGCGGAGCAGAAGTCTGTGGAGACCGCAAAAAGGTTTGTCCCCACGGCTCAGCTGTCATGTGACCCAGGTGGACTGTGGGCATGAGTCCTGAGATGAGGCGCCTCAGAGGAACTGGCTTATCCCTGGGGGCTGGGTTTATTTCTTAACCAAGACCACTTCATTTACCACTTACTTATTGAAGGATGTTTTGGTGCCTCTGTTTGGTTGAAATGATCAAAAACCCACTTTCTCTCTGTTCCTGTGTTAATAACAATTTATGTGCATAAATACACACCATTTCCAAATAAAATTTCCATTTTCTTTTTGGAAATTTGAGGATTTGCGGAAAACATCAATTTTCCTTGTTTTCATCATTTGACAAGTAATTTGTATTATTAATGAGCTCAGCTCACTATTTACAAGATGCTGTTCAGGGCACCGGGGATGCAATCATGAACAAGATAGATGCAGTCCCTGCCCTGTAGAGCTTATAGCCGGTCTAGACAGTAATTAAGTAACTGGACAACTTAATTTTAAAATGACAAGTTATGATACGTGCTATATCAGTCAGAAAAGCAAACCACTGGAGTATTGGAAATAGGATTTTAATGCAGGGCATTGGTTGCAAAGGTGGTAGAGCACTGAGAAGACATGCAGGGGAGAGAGAGGCAGCCCAGCGATTAGACACAGTAGGAAGGAGCTACCACCCTGAGCTGGAGAGACAACGGAAAGAGGTGGTGTTGCTGGATGGAGCCCAGGGTGGAGAAGTTGGAACTGTGGTGGCCTTTCCAATGGACACTGGAGCCAAGGAGGTAAAGCAACAGCTACAGAGACACCTCCCAAGGCAGAGACAGAGGCAGGAGATGCCTGCCTTTAATCCTTCTGGTACCTTCCAGTTTCCCCCAGTGGTTTCCACTGGCCAAACCTAGCCAGAAGCCAACTGACACGTAGCTGGAAACACGGGAGGGGGTGGGGAGTAGATCTGAGGACAAACAGGCCCAGGCCTAGCACAGGAGCTATGAAGGAGATGAATAAGGAATTGCGAGGGAGAGAGAAAGGAAGGGGGCATGGATAGTCCTTTTTCAGATTGGGTGGTTAGGGAAGGTCTCTTGGAGGAGGTGATATTGTAATAGATACTTAAAGGGTGTAAAGGAGCTAGCCATGTGTAGAGCTGGGTGAGAGCCTTACAGGGAGAGGAGCCAGGAAAAAGGCCCTCTGTATATTCAAGGAGGCTCATGTGGGGTGGAGATGTGGTTAAAACGGTAAGTGCCATGACTTCAGGCATCAGATCTCACTGGCCTCGTGCTCCCTGATGAGAAGTTTGGATCTGAGTCCAAGTGCAATGGGAAGCCCTCACCCTTTCCTAGTTTATCTCACCTGGGAGAGCAGAATTAAAGAGTAAAGGAGCTTTGAGGAAGTGTCTAGTGGGGTTCTACCTGGCCAGCACAATGCAGACCTCAGTAGCTAATGTAGTGGACCTGGAGCCTTCTTTGTGACCTCGTCAGTGATCAGGCTCTTCCTAAGGTACCTCCTTATTTTTAAAGGCAAGTCCTTTCCTTTCTTGGTTGTATAGAAGTTCAGTCTTTCCTTAGCTTTTTTTTTTTTTTTGAAAAAAGTAAAAAGTTGATTACTGGTATAAAGGCAAGAACAGAGCTTTATCCATTCATAAAAGAAGCGCTTTCCTTTCTCTGAGGGGCTCACTGTGAAGTGAGTGAAGGGGCCGTGAAGTGAAGGGGCCGTTGGTGCCATCAGCCAACTCTGAGTGCCAGCCTTGTGTTGGGTGAGGTGGTGTGGCACCAGGCCCAGTGGCATGGTCATTCCTGGTGGGTAAAGAGCATGAGTGTAGAGCCCTTTGTCCACACCGCACTGGCTTAACAGAGGGCGACTTTGTGAACTGACTGATTTGCAGGACCTTCTGTGTCTTATGAAGTGAGCATTTGAGAGCCTTAATAATCAGAAGAGACGGAGTCCTGGCATTTTTTTATTACCAAGAATAAGAGGTTCCTGAGCCCAGTTTCCATGACAAAGCGACACTGGGCCTGACATCTGCAAAAAGACATTGTTCTTTTCTTATCAGTGCCCAGGCTAATGGCTAAATCGAAGCCTTCTTTTTTTAAGTTCAAACGGTGCTCCATTGCTTCCAGAAATTCCTCTGCAAATTCCTCTGCAGAGATTTTGTTCTGTCCTTACTTAGTAGGTTGTGGTGGTCTTGGTTTGCCTCCATCCACCCCTTTTGACTGGAAGCTCCTTGAGGCACTCACTGTATCAGGCTCCCACTTGTACCCCCAGGATCCAGCCCAGGACTTAGTGGGGGATGCGTGGCCAAGGAAAGACACCCTGTTTCTCCACTCCTACCACAAATACTAAGTCAGGGTAGTATTGGACCATTGTGTTCTGCCACTCCCTCATGCGCTCTGTGACTTTAGGCAAATTCGGAAATCTCTCTGTGCCCTGGTTTCTTCCTCATCTATACAGTGGGGGATGATAATAGTGATGTAGGATATTTCTTGTGCCGGGGTCGTAGTCTCATGAAGCTGAAGAATGGAGACACGGAACAGAGATATAAAGTTTGCAGTGGATGATAGTTTTATTAAAGCAAGAGAAAGGTTACAGCTCCCGAGTGGGAGGGGTACCTGGAACTGGGATGCCCACCAGCTAGGGTAAAAGGCTTGAGTTTTATACTTTTTTTCTGCCTGGGAGGGGGAAAGCTGGAATGTTAGTGCCTCTCATTAAGGTGTTTATCAGATTTGTTCTGTTGCTCAGCCTTGCGGAGGCCTTTCATAATGTCCTTCAAAATGGCTTTGTTGCTCTGGGGCATGACTGATGTCTCTGCTCCAGTATGAGGGAGTTATCTTATAATTTTGAAAGGAATGGCTAGTGTAAGGAATGGCTAGTTTTTTTTATCTTTGCTCAGAGTACCAGGGAATTCCTGACTGCCTGATGTTATACTAACTAACCTGTCTTAATAGTAGCTACTTTCATGGGTGTTGTGAGGAATGAGAAAATGAACATATATAAAAGCCTTAGGACAATGCCTGGGTCTCAGCCCCATGTAAATGCTAACATCCACCTTCCTGCTGTGGAGATGGGCTGCAGGAACTGCTGCTGTTTACTGTGGGCTGGGCTGTGCAGTTTGCTTTCATTCTTTAGTCCCCACCTCAAGCTTATCAAGTGGGTATGTATTCTTATGATCTCTATTTTGTAGATTAGGAAACTACAGCTCAGAGAAGTTAAATTAACTTTCACAAGGGCACGTAGTGAGTAAGTGACAGAGCAGGGACTAAAACCCATGTTTTTTGAATCTAGAACCCTACACTTTGACCATGAGGCTATCCCATCGTCAGTCAGGGGTGGGGTCTTTGATTTCATCTCTTTTGGTTTCATCATTTGCACGGCATTGGGTGCTGCTCCCCAGGATATATAATTGTCAACTTCTGAATGAAATGGAGGGCAGTGGGGTGAAACTCCCCGCTGCCTATAGGCTTCTTTTCTGCCAGAGGACAGTCTGGTCCCTGGATTACCTGTCAGATGTCCCAGTGTCCTCTGGGGCTATGCACCCCCAATTTTATCTTTAGCTTCACTGCTCAGTAGTGGCACCGTTATGCAAATATTCAGATATGGACAGCTTAATGGAGGAACCCTCTCCAGCTTTCTCTTTATCTCTGGCTCCTCCCTGACATTCTGAAATATGAATGTCATGATATGGAGCCTTTCTGCAAGGAGCCCACAGGCCTGGAGCCAGCAGCAGGTCTCCAGATATGCAGAGTCTATGGATTTGTGTTTCAAACTGTGACATGAGATGGGGCTTCCAGTTTGGAAAAAGCCCTTCCTCTGACAAGCCTGAATACTCCTGATGCTTGGAGAAGGTTTTTCTTTACACCATTTCCTTTTTCTCTCTTATTTATTTATTTATTTATTTATTTATTTATTTATTTATTTATTTTTTAAGAAAGAAAGACAATTCTAAGTCTACTGTAAAAGCACAAACTACAGCCGGGAAATAAAACAGCTTCTTACAAAAAAAAAAGAACTTGGTCTGTGACTAAGCAAGATGAGCACCTAAAACATGGCGGCTTGTTGTGTAGGATTCCAGTAGCTGTAAGAGCTGAGCTGGGCCCAGACATCACCCTTCCAGGTTTGGGGGCTAGTCCATGGAGGCAGTGCTCCAGGCTGATCAGAGAATCACTCATTTTGCAGACTAGGCCCCAAATAGCAGGTCAGCAGGGACAGCTTGCTACAGGGCCCTGCCTTAGGAAGATGACATTGTCCAGGTCTCTTACTGGGAACAGGGGTGGCTCAAGGTGAGAGGGAGGGATAGACTATCTATGGAATCAAAGTCAGGAGGTAAAGACAAGAAGTTAGGGAAAGGCTGGTGGTATCCAGAAGCTCTCTTTTATTCACCTTGAATCTCACCATATTACCTGCGCTACAAAAGTACATAGTTGGAACTCAGCCAACATTGACAACCACATGAAAAATTTCTGAACAATTACAATGTACATTAGTGCTCCCCTGCCTCTTCTATTTCTTTTTTCTTTTTAAACAATTTTATTGAGCTATAATATAATACCATATAATCCACACATTTAAAGTGTACAATTCAATGGTTTTATTATATATGCAGAGTTGTACAACCATCACCATGATCAACTTCAGGACATTTTTATCATCCTCCAAAGAAACCCCATACCTTTTAGCTGTCATCCCCCCAATACTCCCATCCCATCTCCTATTTATTCTTACTTTATACAAAGTTCTGATAAGCCTGGTTATCTTGTTTCTTATCCTGTGACAGATTTAAGGAAGCAAATTAGAAGTGGGGAGAGGGCCTTCTAGAGGAGGCAAAGTCACAGAAATGATGTGTGGTGATGATGAGTCCAGGCTTTGGAGCCAGATCACTGGGTTCAAATGACAGCCCCAACTCTTATTATGGAGTGGCCTCTGGCATGGCTCCTAACTGCAGGAGCCTGTTTCCTGATCTGCATAAAAGGACCTATCTTATGAAAATTAAATGAGCTAATATGCACGAGTATTAGCACAATGCTAGAAACAT